CCACCTGTGTCCACCGTACTCGGTCGGGGCGGGAGCAGTGACCTGGGGGGGGGAGGGGGAGTCAGGCCGCCCCCGTGCAGATGAGGCTAAAAAATGTCTGCTTTAAAACTGCTCCACACTGGAGTTTCACACAACATTGTAAAATGACTGTAACTCAATAAAAAAATGTTAAGGGGGGAGGGTGAAGCTCAATTGGTAGAGTTCGTGCTTAGCATGCACGAGGTCCTGGGTTCAACCCCCAGTAACTCCTCTGACGATAAACAAATAATAAGTAAACCTAGCCCCCCCCACCAAAAGGCAATTAAAAATAAAATAAATAAACTCGCACTCTCAAAAAAATAATAATACCCCCCTCCCCCGCGAAAGAATGCTTTATGGCGTTGAGGTGAGAGTTAGGAATGCGATCAGTTGTAAAAGGACTTAGCAAGGTGCCGGGGACTTTAGAAGACACGTGGATCCCTTCGTTGTGTTTACATAAGCTTCATAACTGCTCTTGCTATCGGTGTCACCATCTGCATTAAACACATAAAACGGACAGCAGATCTGAGTCTCGGGTGGGCAGGCTGGTCCTGAGTTTGAGAGGGCAGGTGGCTTCTCCAGGCTCACCTGATGGTGAGAGTCAGGAGTGGAACAGCGCGTCCGTACACTTAAGTCATCAGAAGAAACTTCTCGAGGCTCCCTTCTCAGAAGCTGCAGCCCACTTAAAAGAATACGTGTTTTAGAAACCTGCCTTTAAGCGCTCTGTACTTTTTACTGAGCTTTTAGTGGAGTCTTTAACTCAAGGGGTAAAAGTTTTGCTAGAGAAACACATAAAGCATGCATTTGGCTTCTTTTTTCCCGTTAATTTTTGCTGAAATACTGTCATCCTTTGGTATTTTAATCATGTTGTTAGTTTTTTACTTGTATTGTTCTAATCAATAGACAAAATTATTTTACCGCAATAAGTGATAGGTTTAAGTCCCACGATCATTTGAAACAGGAAAAAGGACAAGTGGTGCTTCCCCAGGGTCCTTCCCTTTTCAGGGGCCAAACGGAGGCTGCTCCTCAGCTGCGTGCAGAGGTGGTGGGAGGTGGACGCAGGGAGTGTAAGGCAGGCCTGGTGTCCTGACCCTGTCCTCTTTCTGTCCCCTCAGCTCAATCTTCACATTCCTCCGCAGTCTCCCAAGAGCTGCAGAAAATGAGCATGTTTGAGGTGAGCCCTTTATTCAGTCCTCACTTTATTCTATGGTGGACTTAACTCTTGATTTCAGATTGCTCTGGTCTTGTGTTACACTTCCATTGCCAAGGGAAGTTATTTCCCTTTTATAATCAGCTTGGTAAGACTTTACTTGAGTCATGACTAAATGCTGAATTATGAGTCCTTTTTTATGTTTATTGGTGTAGAAGTATACTTTTTTTTAACTGTACAAATATTAGAGGTAGCTTAAATGGATCTTAGAATGTTAACTAACTCTTGAGTCCCTGCTTGCTCGTAGGTGTGAGTTTTTTGTTTTTAGATTTGTAACTGACATCGTTTTGCTATTATATTTGAATTTTTATTCCTGTCATCAGCAACTAGATTAGCCCATAATGTTATTTTCTTACATCCCTGAGCAGTCTAGTGTCATGGTTACACTAGTTTTATTGGTGCACTTTTCTTTTCTCTTCTCTTCTCCCTTTGCCTCCCTTCCCCCTTTCTTTCTTCCTTTCACCTATCTGTCCATCTTTCTAATTCCTATGAGAAAATCACTTGTTACAGATTTCATGAAACTCACCTCTAAAACTGGACTTGATGAGTACGTCTGCTTCTTGTGTGTAGATGTAGGTAATTGAGTCACTTTATTTAAACAACCATAGATCTAATCTGTTTTTTTTTATTACTACATTTTTAGAGAAAATGTAGCTGTGATAGTATTCTCTTCTTATACCTGTTGTTGTATCTGGATTTCTTCTTTTTGTTTGTTGAAATTTTTTACTTTCATTCAGGGAATGCTAATCAGAAAACAGCCAGATGTGTTGCTGATTGGCCCTGTCAGAAATCTGGATTTTTCAGGGTCTGGGGATGGGCTTGTAAATTTGTAGCAGAAGTAGATTCTAAATACCGAGAGTTGAGGGAGCAGCCCCTCAAACCGTTTTGCTGGTTGCGACTTGAGTGCACCAGCTGTCGATTTCTTTTTCAGGTAGGTAGCATATTCATCTGACTCTCAAATCTAAGCAGCAAGCTAACTCATTGAAGTCTGTGATCATTTTGATTTAATTAATGTGGTGCAAGGTATGAATAAAGGTTATTGTTATTTCTAATGGAGTATTTTTTTTTGTCAGAATGTACTTTCTCCATTGAATTGTCTTCAGTTAAATAAATGTGTATGCACACACGGATGTGTGTGTTTATCACTTTTGGACTTCATATCTTTCGACTTGGGTCTTTCATTTTTGTTAGTATCATGCGCTGTCTTCATTAGTGGCTGTATGGTATGTCTTGAAATCAAGTAACGTTGCTCTTACAACTCTGTTCTTTTTCAAAATTGTTTTCACATTTTAGGTTGTTTGCTTTTCTTTGTAAATATTTGAGTCAGCTTGCGAGCCTACAAATATAAGCTTTTGATTGTGATTGTATTAAGTCTGAGGATCCCTTTGTGGAGAACTGAAATCTCCACCATATTGAATCTCCTTGTCTGTGAATTCAATATTTATCTGTTTACTAAGGTGTTTAGAGATATTTGAGCTGAGAAAGGACATGACCTGACTTGTAATTTAATAACTCTGAGAGTGGACCCTTGTGAGGCAGTGGTGGAGACAGATGAGTTAGCAGACTCCTTCAGTACTCCTTTCAAGAAATGATGCTGTTAGCAGTTGTACTTTGAAGTGATCAAATTCTGGATGGATTTTGAAGTCATTGCCAAAAGTATGAATATTCCTGTTTGCTTAGGGCCTTGCAAATAAAAAGTGTATATTGTCAGGCATTTTGGATTTTGGATAATGTGTAAAAAATTTCAGTTTTTGTCCGAAATTCTGAACCATAAACATGACAGGAGTTAGTTCCAAAGGTATTTCCCATGTCACCTAATTTGAATTGTTCAGTTTGATGAGAAATGTGCTTTCACAGATGTCGGTGTCATTTGAGGACGTGACTGTGGCGTTCACCCAGGAGGAGTGGCGGCACATGAGCCCCGCTCAGAGGACCCTGTACCGAGACGTGATGCTGGAGAACTACCGCCACCTCGTCTCAGTGGGTGAGCCCCTCTGCCGCGCGCTCTCCCTGGAGTGCAATTGTTTCTCTGTTTCTTCTTCTTTTTAAAAAATCACCCGTATTGAGGTATAATTAACAGAAAATAAAATTCAGCAAATTTCTTGGTATGATTCAGTGAATTTTGAAAAATGTAAACAGCTATATCACCAAAGTCATGAACAGATTATTTCTGTCATATAAAAGTTTTCCTTATCGCCTTTCTTAATCAGTCCTCTCTTCTGACCCATTTTCTGATAATCACTGGTCCTCCTTCTGTTTCAATACTTCTGCCTTTTTTGGAACTTGATATAAATGGAATCCCACTTTATGTACTATTTTATGGTATGGCTTCTTTCACTTGGCATAATTGTTTTGAGGCTCATGGATCTGTATTCTTTTTATTGATGGCTAGTGTTCCGTCTATGCCGTATATTATCAATTGTTGGTGAGACGTTTACGTCCTTTTCTGTTTGGTACCGTCATAAATAAAGCTACTGTAAATATTCACGTCCAAGCCTGTGTGTGACCGTATTTTCATTCCCTTGTTTAAAGAACCTGTAAGTGGTTTCCTGGGTCTCACGGCAAGGATTTGTAACTATGGGATACCTCATTTTATGGTGCTTTGGTTTACTGAAGTTTCTAGCTTTACGTTTTTTCCATGTGGAACATTTGTGGCAGCCCCCTCCGTGGCCCATGTCTGTTGGTGCTGGTTTTCCACCAGCATTGGCTCCCTGCATGTCTCTGTGTCATTTGGCAATTCTCACAATGTTTTAGCCTCTTTCGTGACTGTTTGTTGGGGTGATCTGCATCTTTGGTCGCGGTGTAGGTGTTTTAGGGCGTGATGAACCGCACCCATGTGGGATGACAGGCTTCATTGTTAAGTGTCACGTGTGTTCTGACTGCTCCACTGACGGGTGGCCATTCCGCCATCTTCCTCCCTCTCCTCAGGCCTCCCTGTTCCCTGAGGCACAGAGATATTGGCATTAGCCCAATTAATAACTGCTGTGGCCTGTGAGGGTTCAAGTGAAAGGAAGAGTCGCATGTGTCCTACTTGAAAGTAAAATCTAGAAACGCTTAGTGGAAAGTCTGCTGAAAGCTGAGCTAGCCCGACAGCCAGGCTTCCTGCAGCGAACCGTCAGCCACGTTGTGAGCGCAAAGGAAAGATTCCTGAAGGAAAATAAACATGCCAGGAGCAGTGAACACGTGAACGATAAAGGTGAAGCAGCCTCACTGCTAATTGGAGAAAGCATTAGAGTCCTGGATCGAGGTCAGACATTCCCTGAAGCCAAAGCCTAGTTCAGAGCAAGGCCCTGAGTCTCTTCAGCTCTGTGAAGGCGAACAGGTTCGGAAGCTGCAGAAGAAGAGTTTGAAGCCAGCATAGGCTGGCCCACGTGCTGTGAGGGACGAGGCCGTCTGTCTGAGAGGGATGTGCCGGGGGGGGCAGGGAGTGCGGCTGTAGAAGCTGCAGCAGGTTACGCAGAAGGTTTAGCTGAGACAGTAGATGAGACAGTCTTCTATTGGAAGAAGATGCCATCTGGGACGAAGTCGGTTAGTGGCTTGAAAGCTTCAAGGGACAGACTGACTCTCTTGTCTGGGGCGAATGCAGCTGGTGACTTTATCTTGAAGCCAGTGCTCATTTACCATTGAAATCCTAGGGCCCTTAAGATTATGCTGAATCAGTTTGCTTGTGCTCTGTGAATGGAACAACAGAGCCCGGATGATGGCGCGTCTGTTGACCTCAGGGTACTGAGTATCTTTAGCCCACTGTCAGACCTCCTGCTCAGAAAGATTGCTTTCAAAATATGCACATTGACAGTACTTCATCACTCAGAAGCTCGGATGGAGCTGTGCAGTGAGATTGGTGTCGTTTTCATGCGTGCTAACAGCATCCATACTGCAGCCCGTTCTTCAAGGAGGCGTTTTGACTGTCAAGTCATATTCTTTGAGAAATCCGTTTTGTGGCTGCCATAGATAGTGAGTGCTCTGATGGGTCTCCGCAAGGTCGGTCGATCTTTTCTGTGAAGGGCTGACTGTTCTAGACCCCATAAGAGCACTTGTGAATCATGGGAAGGGGTCATAATATCAACTTGAACAGGAGTGTGGGGGGATGATTTTAACACTTAGGGGCAAGTTTGAGGGGTTCAAAACGTCAGTGAAGGAAGTGTCTGCAGATGTAGTGGGAAAAGCAAGAGAATTAGAGGTAGAGCCTGAAGATGTGACTGAACTGCTGCAGTCTGGCGATAAAAACTGAGTGGACGAGGACGTGCTTCTTGAAGGATCAAAGTTGTCTAGAGGTGGAATCTGGTCCTGATGAAGGCATCCTGAAGACTGTTGAAAGAACAACAAAGGGTTTAGTTTATTACATAAACTTAGTTAATGAAGTAGTGACAGGATTTGAGAGGATTAGCTTTGAAAGTTTTGAATGTGGGTAAGATGTTGTCAGTTAGCTTTCCGTGTTACGTAGAAATCATTCATGAAAGGAAGAGCCAATTGATGTGACAAACTTGATTGTTCGTTGTTACCTAATTTCAAGAAGTGGCACAACCGCTCCAGTCCTTCAGTAGCCATCACCCTTAGTAGTGGCAGCCGTCAGCAGTGAGGCAGGACCCTCCGCCAGCAAGGTGACTACCACTTGTGGCAGGCTCAAAGGATGGTTAGTGTTTTTTAGCTATAAAGTGTTTGTTGATTAAGGTGGGTGCACTGTTTTTTAAGACATAATATTGTTACACACGTAATCATCTACCCTGTAACGTGAACAGAACTTTTGTATGTACTGGGAAACCAAGCAATTTATTGTGATGTTCAGGTTACTGCAGCGATCTGGAACCACACCTGCAGTATCTCTGAGATATGCCAGTATATGGGGAAAAAACCAAACTGCCGAATGTTTTTAAAGTGACTGTGTCATTTTCATGGACATTTGCAGCGTGCAGTAGTTCTAACTGCTCTGCACGGCCGCCGTCGTTTTGTGTTGTAAACCCGATGGGCTTTGATCTTTTTGTTGTTGGAAGCCTCTTCTGCTACTTGGGTTTCAGTCAGCATCTGCCTTTGATGGTGGTGCAGACCAACTGTGCTATGCTGTTGGGCCGTTTGGATTCTTTGATGAGAAGAGTATGTTCGGATCCCTTCTCATTTGTTGACTTCTTTGTCTTATAATTCAGTTAAAGAATTCCTCTTCAATTTAATCGATTGGAAGAATTCTTTATACAATCTAGATCAAAGATTTTTATAGACTAAGATACATGTCTTAGAAATTCTTCCTCTTGATCTGCAGGACATCGGAAGGTTGGCCTTTTTATTTGCTAATCAATAGGGTAAAAGGTTTTCATGTTGATGAAGTCCCAATTTTCATTTGCTTTACTTTCATTTTTCAGCATTTCCCCTAGTTAAGAATTCCTTGCCTAAGCGAAGGTCTTTCAGATTTTCTCTTACATTTTTCTTGCAGAAATGTTTTGGTTTAGGTTTTACTTTTACATCTGACTTTTTCCCATTAATCTCTGTACATGGTGTGAAATACAGATTGTGATTCATTTTTTGCAGCTAAAGATCTAATTGCTGCATTGTTGTTTATCCTTTCCCTGTTCAGTTGCCTTGGCACCTGTTGAGATAAATTGTCTATATATGCATAGGCTAATTTCTGAATACCATCCTAGTTTATTGATTAAAATATGCCTTCATACTGATGGTGCACTGTTCTGATTAATCTGGCTGTGTAATAGGAAGGAGAAACAACTCTTCCTAATTCTTTCTCTTGGCTGTTACAGGCTCTTTTCCTATGAACTGTATAGGAATTTAATTGTTTTTAAAACCCTAGTGGTATTCATGCAAGAATTCTGTTGAATCTGAAGATCATTTGGGGGAAAATTTACATCTAACAATAATGAATTTTCTGATCTGTGAAAAATCTCCTTTTCCTTAAGCTTTTAATGCTCCTTTGCAGTGTTTGTAGTTTTCAGTGTGCTTGTCTTCAGCCTGTTTTGTGAGATGTGTCCTTAAATCTTTTGATGCCGTATTTAATGATTTTTTTAAAACTTAAATTTCCAATTGTTTTTTGGAATGATACAGAATTATAGTTTATATTCATTGATAATGTATCTTTCGATCTTGGTGACTACTTTCTTCTACTAAATGTTTTGAAGATTCCTTAGAATATTTTATGTATTAAACAGTATGATTTATAAATATAGATTTTTTATATCATACTTCTCTCTCTGCATTTTGATTTCTATTTTTGAACAGGCTAGGATTTAATGCAAAAGAATTCATTTATTTAGCACTAAGTATGATGTTAGTCCAAGGCCTTAAGTAGCTGCTCGTTGTCGTCTCTTTCTTTCCTTCGCATTCCTAGCAGCAGTATAAAATTGATGTCATTTCTTCGAAAATTCGTAGTAGAAATCACTACAGAAGCTCTCTGCAGGAGTTTTCTTTGTCAGAAATTTTTTTTTAATAACACCTTTGTTGAGTTATAATTGATGTACCAAAAATTCACCTTCTTAACTTGTGTAATTCATTGCTTTTTAATACATTCACAGAGACACAGAAGTGTCAGCACTGTTTAATTTTAGAATCATTCCATTACGCAGCCACTTCCCAGTTCTGCTCCCCACCCCCTAGCAACTACTGATGTGCTCCGTGTCTCTAGAGACTTGCCTGTTCTGGAGGCTTCCTGTCAGTGGACTCACAGAATGTATAGCCTTTTTGCGTGGCTTACCCACTGAGCATGATCTGTTTAAAGTTCTTCAGTGTCCAGGTATGTACCAGTAATCCGGTTCAGTTTCTGGCCAAGTAATTGACTCTATACATATGTCACATTTTGTTTACCCACTTGTCAGTTGATGGACTTTGGGTTGTTTCTATTTTGGCTTATGAACAGTGTTGCTGTGAGCGGTTGTGTAAACATGTTTGGACACACTTTGCAGTTCCCCTGGGTACAGAGTTAGGAATTACTGGGTAATAAAGTCTGTTTAACAATTTTAGGAGCTGCTAAAACAATTTTCCAAAGCTGTTGCACTATTTTACCACCCCTTTACCGAGAATGAATGGAGGTTCCAGCTTCACATCTATGTTAATACTTGAGAATTGTCTTTTGTTTCTTTAGTATATACATAGCCATCGTAGTGAGTGTGAAGTGGGATTTCATTATGGTTATGATTTGCATCTCTGTAATACTGAGCATCTTTTTGTGTGCTAATTGCTTATTGGCTGTTTGTATATATTCCTTGGAGAAATGTCTGTTCACATCCATTCTCCATTTATAATTCGGGTTCTTTGTTTTTTTATTGTTGACTTTTAGGATTTTATATATAAAATGAATACAGGTGTCTGATATTTCATTGTTAGTGTGAAGAAATGCAGCTGATTTCTGTGCATTAATCTTGTGTCCTGCTATCTTGCTGAATTCTTTTATTAACTTGAGTAGTTTTTGTGTGGAGCTTTGAGGGTTTTCTCTGTTTAGTATCCTGTGATCCACATATAGTGACAGTTTTACCTCTTCTCTTCCAGTTGGGAACCCCTTTATTTCTTCTTCTTGCCTGGTTGCTGTGCTAGGATTTCTAATACTGTGTTAAGTAGAAATGGTGAGAGTGGGCCTCCTTGTCCTCTTCCCGATGCTAGGGGGGAAGGCTTTTTGGCTTTTCCCCACTGAGTATCATGCTGGCTGTGGGTTAGTCATAAATAACCCTGTATTATGTTGAGATATGTTCCCTCTATATCCACTTTGGTAAGAGTTTTTATCATACATGGGTGTTGAATTTTATCAAATGCTTTTTCTGTATGCACCATGTAACCTAGAAATTGAATGTCCTTCCCTTCTCTCAGAGATGTTTGTCTTCCAGCGCTGACGGCCAAAGCCATGAACAGGCGTTTCCCAGTGAAGGGAGTAAATGGCAGATGTCTAAGGGTCACTATTCCATTGAGTCTGTATGATTTCCCGTTGTTTCACATACTACATCATTCCTCCTACACCATCATGGCCGTGAGTGGAAGTTCCTGTCCGGAGCCTTAGTTAGATCTCGGTGTATGTAGACTCCGTGAATTGTATCCCTGTGATTCGGCGTTTAAGGAGACCAGTATCTTTTGAGATTCGGAAAAAAGAATTATGTGGTTTCCTCCATAGGAAACATCAGCTGTGCACCGTCAGTATGCAACTCCTATAACTTTGCTTTCCCTCACATTCGTGTGCGTTAAAGCCAGTGCAGCTGACCCAAACCCTACATCATTTCCCACTTACAGGGCATTGTTTGACAAAACCGTACGTAATCTTCAAGTTGGAACGAGGAGAAGATCCACTGTTACTAGAGGAAGAGATTCTAAAGAAGAGCCTTGCAGGTGAGTTAGTGAGTATTGTAGATAGGTCTTTAGTGAAATTAAATACAGAGTGGTCAGTTAGAGGTAGACCCTGTGAAATATTTTAAACGCTCTCCTTTTGGGGGATTTATATCTTGAAGGTTAGAACGAGTAGCCCTAGGGTAATGTGGTAACCAAACGTGTATGAAAAGGGACGGAGTATAAGCACGTTGGTGTTCTCATCTTAGAGCTAGCAATTTGGAAGGGAGACATCCAGATACGTAGATGATGGCGTTAAATGTAAATGGTACACGTTTTTCCATTTAAGCGTACAATTTACTTGTCTTTCACATGGGTAATTTTCTCCCATTTTATGCAGTGCTGCCTTGGACAGAAGTCAGAGTCAGTAAATCATGTGTTTGCTCCGTATTTCTCTATTGTTTCTCTGACCTGTTCAATTATCTCTGACACTAGTATTTGAAATACTAAAATTATGAATAAAAAGGCAAGCATCTCATTAAAAAAAAGAAGGCAAAAGCCATGAACAGGCGTTTCCCAGTGAAGGGAATAAATGACAGATGTGGAAATGAAATGTTTTAATCTTAGTAATCTGGGAAGTACAAATCCGGATCAGATTGTAATGTAGTATGATTTTATGTGCACTCAGTTTTCAAGTGTGAGAAATCTTTCAATACCAAGAGGGTGAGGACACAGTGCATGGGGCAGCAGTATTAACTGGGAAGACCATTGGGTATTTTCTTTAAAGTTCACCAGTCATGACTCCGTCGTTCTGCTCCCAGGTTTATCCTCTGGAGACTCCTGCACATCATTAGGAGACAAAAATAAGACTCTCTTCATGCATTTGAAAAAGCCCAAATCTGGAAAGAACCTGGATGTTTATTTACCAGTGAACTTAAATTGTGATGTAGTGATAAACTGGGCTGTTATAAAACACAGCAGGGCAACCATGGTCTGTGAATCTAAAATCAAAATTACGCATACAGAATCGAGCAGTGAGAGTCTGCAGGTAGAAACATGTCATATAAATAATAGACAAAAAAACTGAAAGTATCTTGTTCTTTGGAATGAGAAATGTCAGAACATAAATACACAAACTGATAAATAGTTAAAACTAACATATATGTGTGTGTAAATTATTCGGTGTGTTATAATCTACCAAAAAAAGAGTACCCTTTTATTCTTGCATATTCTTGGATGTAATATATATAGTTATTGTTGTATAGTTACACAGAATGACACTAGAGCCAGGTAGGCGAGAGAGAGTTCATATTTATTGACGCACCGGTCAGATTTCTTTCAATTCTGAATCATCATGTGTGTTTGCATTGATTCTGTGCCAGTGTGTCCAAAAATGGTCTGGTTTTAGCTCTGGAGCTTACTGCTTTTTAAAGGACCACGAAGTTAGTTTATGTCGAAGAGGGATATTAAAAAGATGGGAGAAGGAGCATTCTGTTTAAGACTAAGGAGCATAAAGACGTATGAAACATGTTTTATTGAGTCTTAAATGCTATCAGTTGAAAGACAAATTTTTTTAAAAGTTAGATCTTGCTAAAAAACAGTGCACGTGGTTCAGTTTTAAGACGCATCCTGATTTAAGTGTTGGTAATTTGCTTAAAAACGTGTGTGCCTCGGTGTGCGTGCATGTGTGCTCTTCGTGTATTCATTGTCCGATGAGTAGGGTAGGCAGTAATTACTGCGAGTGTGTTAATTAGTGGTGGGAAGCCCTGGGAAGGGATTGTCTCGGTCAAGGTGGGTAACAGCATTGCCTCGGAAGATCCCCGTATGCGCCAGCAGCGCTGAAGTTGGGGTGTAGGGTTACACAGAGATGGAACGGGAGTAGAAGGTACGTGCTCGAAGTGAGCAGTGCTATTGTTGAGGAACCACTGATAGGAGACGGATAGCTGGCTGGGCCAGACCGGAAAGTACTGTGGAGTTGCTGAATGGTAGCTGGAGTACTTCAGATGCCTGAAGTTGGTAGAAAATGTTGTTTTCCAGAATTTGTTGTTTTCCACTGAACTCTTTATCTGTGGTATTTAGAGCGAGGTGTTGAGTGCCATCTCAGGTTTTTAGCATAGGGCAGGAATTTTGTATAGAAGGTGAAACTTGCCTAGATAAGGGCAGGCAAACGTGTGTGAGAAACTTTTCTTAGAAACGAATTAGAAAGGCTGTTTCTTGATAGGATTTTGGAAATAAGATGAAATATGATATTTAAGGATCTCAGTTAATAGAAACTGTGTATGCTGAGAAGTGGACAGGAAGCTTACGTAGAGCTTAGTCGTGATTAAGACTGTTTCAGGAAAATGAGCAATCAGACTGAAGGGGAAGACTTAATGCTTTGAGGATCAAGAGAGGTTTATTGCTGAACAACCCGGGTAGAGTGAACGCGGGTACCCGAGCGAGCATGTCGAAGTGACTTTATTCCAGGTCAGAACGTGACTTTCCCTCACCAGCTTCGCAGTTCTTGTACGTTTGCATTTCTGTGAGCACTTCTGGGAGTATTTGAGCTTGACCTGTAGAATTGTTTCTTTAGTCAGAAGGAAATCAATCCACTTAACGAATTTATTTTAGAGTTGATGTGTAGAAAACTGGGACTCGAGCTGGAAGCTCATGAACTGATAAGTATCCTAGCGCTATAATTTATGTTGGGAGCTAAAAGGACCTAGATGCAGATATTCTTTCTCAATCCAAATTCTTTGAAAAATCCATATCGACTGATTCTTCTGCAGTTTTACTTACTGTTCGTAGTCAGTCATCCCAGTCTGTCATTTTCCCGTTTCCTGGATGAACCACTGTTGAGAGCATCTATTATCTGTTAACTAGTTTGTTTCCTTATTTTTAAAATGCCAACTACGTATGTAATAGTTACTGTAATTTTGCTGTCATATTTTCTCAAGGATTGTAGGAAATAAACTTGGAATTGTTTATTGTGAGGAGATTGGTGGCTAGGAACCAAATAGTCAAATACAGTATAGGACGTATGTGTGAAGGCTGCGTCTTGTAAGAAATGTGTTAAAGGCTTGTAAGACATTTTTGTTTTCTTTATTTTACAAGACTGCCAACTTGATAACCTCTTAGAGAGAAGCCTGGCGATTCAAGGGAAAAATTTGCGGCAAGACTTTTTTACTCAACTGCAGGCTACAGACAGAGGTGAGGAAACGTTCAGCCACAAGTCACACTGCAGAGAGCATCAGAGCGCTCGCACAGAAACAGAGGCCTTTGAAACTGGAAATAAGAACTTACGTCCTAACGCAGCCCTCACTGTATCTCAGAGACTCGACACAGTTGGGAACTTCAGTCATCATACCGTAAGGAGGCAAAACTTGCGCTCTCAGACTGCCTTCAGTGCGCAGCAGAGAACTGGAGTCAGGGCGAAACCCTATGGGTGTACAGAGTGTGGGAAATCCTTCCTTAGCAAAGCACACCTCATTGTACATCAGCGAATTCATACTGGAGAGAGACCTTATGTGTGTAATGAATGTGGTAGAGCTTTTAACCAAATGTCATACTTCAGGGAGCATCAGAGACTTCACTCAGGGGAGAGGCCCTATGAGTGTAATGAGTGTGGAAAATCTTTCTCTAGGAAGTCATACTTCACTCTGCATCAGAGAAATCACACAGGGGAGAAACCCAGTCAGTGTACTGAATGTGGGAAAACTTTTAGGCAGAATTCAGTCCCTAAAAGACATCAGAGAACTCACACAGGGGAGAGGCCCTATGAGTGTAATGAGTGTGGAAAATCTTTCTCTAGGAAGTCACACCTCACTCTGCATCAGAGAAATCACACAGGGGAGAGACCCAGTCAGTGTATTGAATGTGGGAAAACGTTTAGGCAGAATTCAGTCCCTAAAAGACATCAGAGAATTCACACTGGGGAGAGACCTTTTGAGTGTAATGAGTGTGGAAAATCTTTCTCTAGGAAGTCACACCTCATTGGGCATCAGAGAGTTCAGACTGGGAACAGTCCCTGTAAGGGTAATCGCTACAGAAAGCGTAGGACATCCTTCTACACAAACTGTGACCTCACTGTTCATCAGATAAGAAACGGAGGGGAGAAACTCTGTGACTGCATTGAATGCGGGAAAGCTTTTAGCCATAATTCAACCCTACATAAACATCAGATAATTCACACAGGACAGAAACCCAATGAGTGTAACAAATGCGAAAGATCCTTTTATACAAAGTCTTGCCTTGCTGAGCATCAGAGAATTCACGCAGGAGAGAACCCTTATGAGGGTAATAAATGTGGAAGATCCTCCTGTATAAAGTCTTACCTCACTCTGCATCAGAGAACTCACACTGGGAAGAGACTCTATGAGTGTAATAAATGCGGAAAGTCCTTTGATGTGAAGTCGCACCTCACTCTGCATCAGAGAAGTCACACAGGGGAGAAACCCAGTCAGTGTATTGAGTGTGGGAAAACGTTTAGCCAGAATTCAGTCCTTAGAAGCCATCAGAGACTACACACTGGGGAGAAACCCTATGAGTGTAATGATTGTGGAAAATCTCTCTCTAGGAAGTCACACCTTGTGCATCAGAGAGTTCAGACTGGGAACAATGCCTGTAAGGGTAATCTCTACGAAAAATGTAGGAAATCCTTCTATACAAATTGTGACCTCACTGTTCATCAGAGAAGAAACGGAGGGGAGAAACTCTATCAGTGCTTTGAATGCGGGAAAGCTTTTAGCTGGAAGTCACTCCTGAAAAGACATGAGAGGATTCACACAGGGGAGAAACCCTGTGAATGTATTGAATGTGGGAAAGCTTTTCGCTGGATGTCATCCCTACAAAGACATCAGAGGTTTCACACTGGAATGAAGCCCTATGAGTGTAACAAATGTGGAACGTCCTTCTATACAAAGCATGAGCTCACTGTGCATCAGAGACTTCACACAGGAGAGAGCGTCTATGAATGTGATGAATGTGGAAAATCTGTCTGTAGTAAGTCATACCTCATTGTGCATCAGAGAATCCACACGGGGGAGAAACCCTATGAATGTATTGAATGTGGGAAAGCTTTTAGCCATAATTCAACCCTAAAAAAACATCAGAGAATTCACACAGGACAGAAGCCCTACGAGTGTAATAGATGTGGGCGATCCTTCTGTAGGAAGTCTGACCTTACTGCGCATCAGAGAACTCACACAGGGGAGAGACCCTATGAGTGTGATGGATGTGGGAAATCCTTCTACAGAAACTCCCACCTCACTGCATCAGAGAACGCACAGAAGGAACCCTGTGGATGTATTGAATGTGAGACAGTGAGCCTTTAGCCAGAAGAAGCCAGACCTCGAAGGGGTTCACCCTGAAGAGAAACCCTACGTACGTGATGAACGTGGGAAAGTTTTCACCTACAAACTGAACCTTTTTGCACATTAGACCGGAAACCCCTGTGAATGTAATGGGTCTGGGGAAACTGACTGGAAGTGAAGCATCAGAGAACTCAGGGAAAACCCAGTAACTATAATGGAAAACTTCTCTGCGAGAAATCAAACATCAGTGAGCAAAACTCACAGACATCCTTCGTGTTCATTGTGTGTGGCTAGTCTTGCAACCAGATTTCAGCCCTCATTGGACATGAAAGGACTCACCCAGGACATACATCCTTTAAATCAGTCGCTTATGAACGATCTTTCAGCCAGACCTCGCTGGGTGCTAGAAAAATTTACACACACACAAATCCTGTGATGATAAGGGTGTTGGAAACTTTTCTACTGCAAGGCAGCCTTCAATTTAGTTGTACTGGAATCCAGCGTAAGTGTAGTAGGAATTAAGTACTTTCTACTCAAAAACTATCATTACGCAACACTTCAGAGGATACGTTTGGATAGTTAAATTACCCTATGTTCCTATCAGCTCTTATTATCATCTCCAGTTTATATAAGAAAGACCGTTGTGCCTGAATTGCCTCTTTAGGCAAGAAAGCAGTGTTTTCTGTAAGACTTATCATCTCAGGGTCAGCAGTGAATTTAGGATAAACACTGTATTTTGTGTGTAAAGGTCACATACACAATTGGTTGGAGAACAAATCTCATTCAGTTGGAGAGCTGCTGTGAACAGTGGTACTTAACTATTTGTAAACAGAAAAGGAAGTTATATTTTCATTTTCCTGTAGGGCAAAAATATTTCAAAATTATCTGAGACTTTGACATACATGTTATTAGGAGCGTGTTCAGTCCAGATATTTTGCGATTTCTTGCTATCTTTAATTAATAATCTAACTTCATTCTCTTGTTGTCTGAGAAAATGCTTTATATGATTTCCACTCTAAAATTTGTTAAGTCGTGCTTTCCGACATGCAAGTGTTGTCTTGCTCCATTAAATTTCCATCTGAGCTTGAAAATGTGTATTGTGCTGTGGCAGAATCGTCTATAAATGCTGATTAGATGCCATTGGTCAGTGGTGCTGCTCAGTTCACCTCTGTTCTTGTTTTGACTGATGAATCCATCGAGTCCAAGTGGAAGTTTGTTCAAATCTCGAACTATAATTGTTACCAGTTCTTTCCTCACCTGTTTTTGATGGTCTGTTTTTAGACACAGACTGGTAAGGACTGTTACATCGTCTTGAGTCTGCCCCTTTGTCGTTGTGTAATGCTGCTCTTTGTTCCTGATCACTTTTCTTTTCTTAAAGCCAGCTTTGTCTGAAAGTAATAAAGTTACTCTGGTTTTTTTTGGTTTGTGTTAGCATGACGTACTTTATACATCCTTTTAATAGATCTTTATTTTTACATTCAAAGGGAGTTTGTATAGGTAACATGTTTTGGGGTCTTTTTAAAAAAATCTTCTCTGAGATTGTCTTTTACTTGGGATATTTAGATAATTCTCATACAACTGCCATGTTTAAAACATTATCTTTTCATTGTACTGTTTCATCCTTCTCTTTTTCTTCTTTGTGTTATTTTAAGTGCATTTTATATGATTCCGTTTTCTTTCCTCTTGGCAATGTCAATTAAAATTTTTAAAGCTTTAATGGTTGCTTAAGAGTTTGCAGTATACATTTATGACTATTTCAGTCAGCTTTCAAATAACACACTATATGCGGCTTCTCATGGGGTGCAGGGTCCCTGTGATATTGACAAGTCCTCTTTCCTGTTCCCTAGAACGTTACTGTCATTTACTTCACTGGTGCATAAGACATAGTCGGTCAATTCAGTGTTGTGATGATTATTCTGAACCATTATTACACGAAGAGTAAGAAAACAAAAAGCTTAATTTTACCTTCATTTATTTCTTCTCTAATGTACGGACCTAAATTTCTTCCATTAGTCATTTTCCTTCTCTTTGAAGAATTTTTTTTTAAACATTTCCTACAGTACATGTTTACAAGTGACAAATTCCCTCAAGTTTGATTTGGCTAATAAAGCTTTTATTTCTCTTTTTTTAAAATACATTTTTATTGGAGTATAGTCAGTTGACAATGTGTCGATTTCTGGTGTACAGCACCTGTCATACAGGAAGAGACATATATTCATTTTCATATTCTTTTTCACCATAAGTTACTACAAGATACTGAATATAGTTCCCTGTGCTACACAGTATAAACCTGTTGTTTCTCTGTCATTTTGGAAGGATAATTTCACTGAACAGAGTTCTGGGTTACTGATTGTTTTTTAAACAATTTAAATATTTCAGTCTGTCTTTTTTTTTTTTTTTTTTTTTTTTTTTTTTTTTTTGCATGGTTTGTGAGTGGAATTCCAACATAATTCTTAGGATTTATCCTCTCCAGGTAAGGCTAATAGGATACACCTAGATATTTTTATTTCTATGTGGCTTGGTATTCTCTGGCTTCCTGTATCTATAGTGGGAGTCTGTCCCTAATTGGAAAAACTCTGAGCCATTATTATTTCAAAGATTTCTTCTGTTTTGTCCTTATTTTTTAATTCTAATTATGCATACATTCCTTCTTGGGTAATTGTTCTCACATTTCTTGGATGTTCTTTTTTTTTTCTTTTGCATTTCAGTTTGCTATGTTTCCATCTTCAGGTTCATTTGTTGTTCCTCCACCTTGCAGGCCAGTTGGGAGCCCACCACAAGTGTCTTCGTTTCTAGCCCAGCGTTTTTGATGACTAGCTTTTCCTTTAGGTTACTCAGCCAACTCCACTTAACAGTGATGTCTCTGCCCTGGGCTTCCCTTCAATCAGGCGCCCCACCCAGTCTCCAAAAGCTCCTCAAAGGGTCATTTTGAGGTAGCCTTCAAGCCATCTTGGTGATTCTGTGCCCAGACACAAATCTTGGTCCACATGGCCTTTAGTCACACCACCAGGACTCATGGCACAGATAGCCGTGAATGGGCACAAAGTCCTCCTTTTCTCACCGAAGGCCCCTGTGAGTACGTCACAGTGAAAATGGCCACCTTTGGATGTGGCTGTATACGCACAGTGTAAGGCTCTCCCCTAGTACATGACTCCCTTCCCCAGCCCTCTGGTCCACTTCCCCTGGGCTACACACTAAGTGCACCACTGTCTTCTCGGTCCAGCCTCTGGAGTTACAGACCTTGGGACACAAAATCCCTGAGATTACTACCCTGCTGGGCCACCACTGACAAATAGCCATTTTCATTTCTATAGTCCTGGGCATTTCAGTTCTAGGATTGGCTTGGACTGGGTGCCAGTGCAGTGGCCCTGGCCACCCAAAATCGGGTAACTTGGGCCAGAAAAAACAATTGTTGGCTGTCTTAACCCGACATATACAAGGTCCTCTAAAACCCCGCCCCTTGTGCAGCAGTCCCGTGAGTCTCTTGCTCCAGTGGTTTTGGACAGCCCCCGGCCCTAGAGTATCTTCTGGCCGAGGAAAGAGGAGTCTGTCCTCCCTGGTGCTTCTTGCTGCATGTTTATCAGTAACAAGCAGGTAAGTTCAGACCTGCTTACATCAGATAGATGTTAAACTATTCCATAATACTACCCAGATCTTTGAACAGATTCTCTGTGTCTACAAGATCGCTGACCTGTTTTCATGGCTGGACCTTTTCAAGTTTGGACAATGGCTACTGACTCAATGTCAGACCATTGTTTGTATCATTATTATAGGATCTGTTATTATAACCCAAATCAGATGCATAGTTTATTGGTCTCTGCCCTTTTACTGTATTTGGTGCCCTGGCTATTAATGTTCTATTAAAGCTGATGCCTTGGCATCTTAGGGTGGATTGTAGTGTAAGTGCCTGAGATTAACTAATAAATGTGTATATTAAGAAGTTAGAAAGATTGTAAATAAACAACCAAATTTTACATGTTAAGGAAAGAAGAGCAAATTAAGCCAAAGTAGTAGAAGAAAGGACATAATAAAGATCAGAGCAGAAACAAGTGAAATAGAATTCAGAAAAACAGTAGGAAAGATCAATGAAATGAAGCTGGTTTTACAGAGACTTGAAAAGCTGAAAAACTTTACAACATCCCAGACATGGAAACAGCCTAAATGTCCATCGACAGATGACTGGTTAAAGAAGATGTGGTATATTTATACAATGGAATACTATTCAGCCATAAAAACCGACAACATAACACCATTTGCAGCGACATGGATGTTCCTGGAGAATGTCATTCTAAGTGAAGTAAGCCAGAAAGAGTAAGAAAAATACCATATGAGATTGCTCATATGCAGAATCTAAAATAAAAATAAATACAAAATAGAAACAAATTCATATACATAGAATACAAACTTGTGGTTGCCAAGGGGGCGGGGGTGGGAAGGGAGTTCAAAATGTAGAATAGATAAACAGGATTACACTATAGCACAGGGAAATATATACAAGATCCTGTGGTAGCTCACAGCAAAGAAAAAAAATTTCAGTCAGTAGATATATGTCATGTATAACTGAAAAATTGTGCTCTACACTGGAATTTGGCACAACATTGTAAAATGACTATAACTAAAAAAAATGTTAAAAAAGCTGAAAAACTTTTAGCTAGACTAAGAAAAAAAGTGAGGACTCAAATAAGAAAAATAACTTAACACTGCAGAAATACATAGGATCATAAGACACAACTATGAACATTTATACAACAGCAAATTAGATCACCTAAAAGAAGTGGCTAATTTCTTAGAAGCATATACAACCTATCAAACTGAACGAGGGAAAAATAGCAAGTCTGAACAGACCAAGAAAGAGTAAGCAGATTGAATCATTAATCAAAAACTTCCCAACAGACAATTACAAACCCAGCTGGAATGCACTATGTAAAGGCACATAATATAAAAGGTGTGAAATAGAAAGCCAGTGGTGTATGTACATAAAGACCATCTTCTCTCAGTAAAATGACTAGTTCATCACACTGGCACGTGGGAAAACAAACTTGCAAAGGCATGTGTATAGAAGATGATTACAAATAAGGCAGTTGTACTTGTAAAAATCACAGTTATGCTGATAAGTGGAAGACAGTCCGACATTCTGTGGAGCATGGGAACACTTTATAAATTAACATGTATAAAGTTTTGTTTTCTAATAAAGCTAGTTGAGTATTTGAAATAAGGACAGTATTAATAGAGTGAAAAAATGTGATCACCGTAGTATACACTGTAAACACGTGAATAAAACATTTATCTTAGGATGCTTGTTGTATATGTGAATTTGATTTTAGTGAGAGAAAATGATTACACTATGTGCATTAAATACTCTGAAAAGTCACATATATAAAAAATATTTCAAGAAAACTAGTTGTACATGTGAATAAAGGATAGTGTTATTTCAATGAAACTATGTGTTCGCCAAACATATCATATACCCTGTAAAGGAATGCATATAAAAGACGTTCCTAAGAGTTAGAATTTTATTGCATTTCTGTCTTGTTCTTTCAATGAAAGAATGTGTTTATTAAACTGTGGTGCATGCAATTCACTGTAGAGAAAAATGTACATACATGTTTGGCATAATGCTAACTGTGTGAATAAGGATAGTGTTAGTTTGATGAACAAATCACCACAAAGTGGTGCGTGGAAAATATTACATAAGAGGTAGGTATGGAAAACATGTTTACTTGAATGATTTTGTTTATATGTATAAAGTTGTTATAAATTCAGTGACGGGATGTGTTCACCACTATTATTAAGGTAATATATTGTGATAAAACTCATGTATAAAATTGTTTCAAAGAATACTAATTCTATATATGAATATGGCAGAGTAATTTTGGTGAAAGAAAGAATGACCACACTGTGGTGCTCAGGTTGCTCTAATGTCCCCAGCCTACAGTAGCACAGGCCATGAAAAGAGATGACAGCACCAATGGCAGGGGACATGAGGTTTTGAGAGATGACAGTGCCTTGGCCCATGACGGTGGCAGACACAATTTCATCTGGAATACTGCCACTGCAATCTTCGCTGTATCGAACATGACACTCAGGAAGACACGGCAGCTGAGACACAGCAGCCAATGATGGTGAGCGCCTGATTGCTGAACCGAATTCTTACCTAAATTAATGATTAATTAATTATGTAATATTATATAATGACTTTGTCTCATGTTACATTTTTTGTGCTTAATGTCTGCTTATTGTCTGCTCTAAGTATAGCTGCCCCTGCTCATTTCTGGTTTTCATTTTTAGGGAATGTATTCTTCCATCCTCTCGTTTTGATTTGTCATGACAGCTTAAAAAAAACCTCTTTCGGTGAAATACAGTTGGTCTTTTCAAGAATTTATTCAATCACTCTTATGTTCTTTAACTGGAAAATTTAATCTGTTTACATCTGGAGTATTTGTTGATATGTAAGAAATTACTAATGTCATCCTATTATTTTGTTTCTAGCTGTTTTGTAGTCTTGGCCCTCTTTCTCTCTTGATGTATTCCCTTGTGATTTGATGACTTCCTGTAGCACTGCATTTGTTTTCCTTCCCCTTTTTTCTTGTGTGTCTTCTTTGCTTTGTATTTACCATGAAGCTGATAAAATATAACATTTAATAGATATAACAGTCTATTTGAAGCTGAGAACATCCTAACCATTTACATAAAAAATTCTACCTTTTTTACTCCCTCTCCACAACACTTTGTGATTTGATGTCACTGTTTACATATTTTTATATTGTTTATCCATTAACAGTTATTGTAAGTTTAATCATTTTAATGCTTTATCCTTTGATCTTTGTATAAAATGTGAATAATTAGCAGATGATTATATTATTGCATTGGGGTATTCAGATTTCACTACATACTAACGTTACCAATGTGTTTTGTATTTCTGTGTTTTAACGTTCCTAGTGTCTTTTCCTTTTACCTTGAAGGACTCCCTTCAGCATTTTATGTAAAGTAGGTCTAGCAGTAATGGATATCCTTAGATTTTCTTTGTCTAAGAGTCTCTTATTGAAGTATATTTGATTTACAATGTTGTATTTGTGGTGTACAGCATAGTGATGATGGTCATTCTGACCGATGTGAGGTGACGCCTCATTGTAGTTTTGATTTGCATTGCTCACATAATTAATTATGTTGAGCTTCTGTTCGTGTGCCTGTTAGCCATCTGGATGTTTTCTTTGGAGCAATGTCTATTTAGATATTCTGGCCATTTTTTGATTCAGTTGTTTGTTTCTTTGATATTGAGCTGTGTGAGCTGCTTGTATATTTTGGAAATTAATCCCTTGTTGGTCACATCATTTGCAAATATTTTCTCCCATTCTGTAGGTTGCCTTTTTGTTTTGTTTATAGTTTCCTTTGGTGTGCAAAAGCTTGTAAGTTTAACTAGGTCCCATTTGTTTACTTTTGTTTTTATTTCTATTACTCTAAGAGATGGATCCAAAAAATATTGCTGCAGTTTATGTCAAAGAGTTTTCCTCTAGGAGTTTTATAGTATCCTGTCTTACCTTTAGGTCTGCAATCCATTTTGAGTTTGTTTTTCTATATGGTGTTAGAGGATGTTCTAATTTCATTCTTTGACATGAAACTGTCCACTATTTGCTTCTTAACATTGTAGTGTCAGAATAGCTTTTTTTTTTAACAAAGCCTAGTGGGAGATTAAACTAGCCTAGTCTTTTTGATGGCTTGTTAACATCTACCATCATTTACACATCTATTTTAATTTAGCAATTCTTCATGTTGGAATTTGTATTGCAGAAAAAATGGAAATATGCAAAGAAAAATAGACACAAATAATTACTATACATTTACAATGACGAAAAATTTAAACAAACTAAACATCCATCAAAAAGGGTTTTCATCAATAAATCATCTAATCCTCCAATGCAGTATCATGCAGCCAAGATAAAGGATGATGTCAGACCACTCAAGATTGCTGTTCTCTTTCTCTCTGAACAATCCCTGCTTGACCAGTGCCAGCTTCACCTACACTCTACTCACAACGGTGACCTTTCTACATGCTTGCCCCAGGCCCCGACTAATGATTGTTCTAGTTTTAGGGCAGAACGTCTCCACACTGATAACTTACCAGTGGGGCTGGGAGAAGCCAGAGGCCCTGTGGGTTTGCTTGGTAACCAATGAGCCAATCTGAGGTCAATTTCCCCTGTAAGTGGTAACATCCCACCCTACAAACCCCAGGGAAAACTTCTGCCACATCCTGCGCACCTGTCATTGTGTCGCTTCAGACACGCGAGATCCCCCTATCCATAAAACCACTGTCTCCGCCACCAACTCAGGCTCTTTTTTCTTATGGGTGGGCAAGTACTGAACAATCATCTTTCAGCCCGGAGTTTGCCCGGCTTTGCTCTGGTATCCTTCCACATAGGCCAGACATGAAGATGCCTGAAGATCCGAAGTGTGGGGACACATCCGATCCTGGCCTCGGAGCACCAAGAACCACATGAACATGCGTTTCTATTCTCCAGTATTTCTAGCCTGCAGCCCTAAAGTACTTTCAGGTTTCAAAGTCACACCAAAGCGCGCGGCATAATGGGAACTGTAGTCTTTCCCGATGCACCGCCCTCTTGGGCTTCAGGGCCCCCAGTGCGCATGTGCAGCCTAGCCCCCGCCTCTTCACTTCCGCCACCGCCCGCCTATGACAGGGAAGTTCCGGTTGTCTGGGTCGCGGGCTTGAAGCTGCCGGTGTGAGTGTACTTGAGGCCCTGAGATTTGTTGAGTTCTTGTGGCGGGAGCGG